GATGCAGACGTTAAACTTGAAAGCAACGTCACAGCTGCTGCTTTTTTTTCCATTTAAGGCGGCCCGCCAAAATAAAGCCTTTTATCAAGGCAGCTTTTTCAGGCAGTAACCCACAGCTTTGTTGCATCCAGGCTGGATTACAGCCGCACACTTTATGATGGAGTTAGTGGCACGTCTGCAGGTAGTTCCCAAAAGCTGCAGCGCATCTTTTAACTGGAACAAAAAGTCTGAGCTCATCAGCCCATTTTCATTTCACTCCACCTTTGATCCTTTTTAAACTTCTTTTATGTGTTTTTAAACCTCCTGCTCGCCCGTGACCGTGCTTCACTGTAGCTGCTCCAAAGCTGCCTCTTCTCTTTATGCTCTTTGTATGTGTGCAGCACTTTGTGAACCCTGGTTTTTTTAAGGTGCTTATAAATAAAGGTGGTAAATGCTAAACTTAGTCTGTAACAGCTGAACAAAGCAAAAGTGCAATAACAAGAAAACTCAGAAAAAACTCAGCGATGCTTCACAGCGATGGTGTTAGATACGGTGTCTAATCTAATCGAGTTGTCACACACACACACACACACACACACACACACACACACACACACACACACACACTTACAGCATCTGAGCTCTTGAAGTAAAGTCTGAAGTTGGTGATCAACACTTTGCCTTTCACGGCTCCACTGAACGGACAGATGTAGATTATGTCTTTATCTGGAAAGACAGGAGAAGAGTCAGAATATGAGAAACTTGTGGAGCAAACAGTCTTATTCATCAGCTGCACAGGACTCACCAGTAATCCTTTCCTCTCCAGGCAGCAGGGACACGTCAGATAACAATTCCATCTTCAGAGACTCTTTGCGGGTCTGCAAACACCAATATCAACATACATGACTGTATGCAATGTTTAAAATAACAAAAGATTTTTAGCTTTTATTGCAATTTAGCCCCGCCCTCATTTATTAACATTCAGTCAATCACCTGATGAGTTTGTAAGTTTGCTCATTGTTTAAATACAAACACTGTTTGACAATATTGTGAAACGTTTTTGATCGTTTCAGATTTTTCACAGATTTTCTCGCCATGTTTGCACCATCACTCTACTTTCTGCAGTACAACACTGTTCAGCTGATGCTGACGAGGCTTTGGTACCACAGTGTGTCCAGCACTGCTTACTGCAGACAGAGGGGGCTGGAGCTGTAGGAGTTAGTAGCAGCAGCTTCTGCACTGCTGCAGAGCAGCTTTAAACTGTTAGCCCATGTTGTCCCTGAAAAAGGCCTTTTGTATCAGTCTGTTTGTGTAAACTTACCTTTTTTAACCTTTGTACCATCTTAAACTGTTCATGTGACTGGAATGACTTCAATTGTACTAAATAATTGTTCTAAAACCTTTCAGCGGTAGTGCAGGTTACAGTTAAATGTGTTATTCGTCTAACTGGCAGTTAGTTATCACAGTAATAGAAGCTCAGAAAAAAAGAAAACAGGAACAGAGATTTGGCTTCTTCTGTGTCACACTGAACTCTACATCTTTTAAGAAGCGCCTTTGACACAATCAAATGCACAACACAGACACACAAACGCATACTTACAGGGGGCGTGTGTGACTCTAAGATGTTGTACACTGAAACAGGTGAAGCCATTGCTGAGGGAGGGAGTTTCCACAGGCTGAGGAAGAGAGACAGGACTGTGAGGGCTCTCTGTTCATGATGACAAAATATGAGATGCTAGCAACCTTGACCGCAGCTCCAGGACCTGAACAGGACTTTCACAAATACTGCTCCTGCAGTAAAATGGATATGTCCTAATAACTGTTCAATAAAATGAAATGTTGTTTTTCTAACACCAATTTACAACAACAATCGTCTCAAGACTTGTAATTGGACGGTAAAGACTCGACTTGGTGACAGTGGAAAGGACGAACGCTCCAAACACAAAGACATCTGCAGCAGAGGGTCAGCAGTCTGCCACGACCGGGCAGCAGCTGAAGTGAAGGACAAACCAAACACTGAAGGGCTGAGACGGTTCAACACAGATTCTTTGCTTTCACACAAGGCTCTGTGGCGCCACTGTTACCATGGAAACGCCAATGCGAGCGACTAGAAACAGACCGTCCAAGAAGACAAAGCAATAACTTTTATCTGCTTTGAATCTACTTGAGATTCTTTCTATATTTTTGCATTTATAAAAAAATTAAATGTTTGATGAAACAAACGTTGCAATTTCTAAAATAGAAGCCAATCCCAGTTTGTTTTTAAACACCAGCCTTTACTTTGAGTATTTATTATTGCTCATTAATAAGGAAAATTTAAATAACTCATTAAAACAGTCGATAGCTGCAGCTCTACTTAGCATAATCCAAAAGCTTAGCCTAACTGTATGAGGAGAGCATTCTAGATTACAGTGAACCTATTGGGTAAACACTGACTACTAAAATGTTAATGTTCAGGTGATATCCTGTATAATATGTTGTTTAAGAGCCAGGCCTGTAGCTTAGGATGGAGAGCAGGTCACCTATGAACTGGAAGGCTGGTGGTTCAACCCCTATCTGCTCCATTTCCTCGGGCGAGTTTCTAACCCCCAGGTGCTCTCGGATGCATCCATCAGAGTAGGAATGTGTGAGCGTTAGATGGAAAGATAGAGAGCACAGAAAACATGGTTGTGTAAAGCGCTTTGAGTGCTCAGAGTAAGAAAGCACCATATAAGGACCAGTCCATGTACCATTTACAAAGCAGTGAGCTAAAGTGCATTAGCTGTATTGCTGGGTCTTGTCACTCAGCAGCACTTCCTGTTATCAGGTCACTCACTGATGCAATCTAAATGTTAGAAAAAACATTTTGTTAAACTCTTTGCACTGCAGAGCTACGTCACTTACGTCCAACAAACAATCAGCCTGCGTCAAAAACATGTTTCCACAAAGGCAGGAAGACATGACGCCAGAAAGCACAGTAAAAATGTCAGATTTAAGCAGCTGATTAAAGTAACTGAGCCTCTCTACCAACATTTCTCTCAGTGCTGTGTTCAGTCGCATTGGACTGGTAGCTACACAAGTTGCACATTTCTGGGACGCCAAACAAAAGCGTGAGCAAAGATACCATCTATCCACTGCACTGCACGACAACACACAAGGGAAGATTTTATTATTTAACAATAGTGTGAAATTAATTAAACACAAGTAAAATACTTGTAATTACATAAGTATAAATTACTTATAGGCTGGTTCACAGGTTTGAAGTCTGTCAGTTTCCCAAATCAGAACTAGAATCATATAAATGCATCTCATGTAGCATTTAAAATGTGAGCATTATTTATCACCTCTGTTAAAGAAATCTATTTCAAGTTTCCCCTAAAGTAAAACTTCAGTTGTTAAATGAGTCAAATCCGACTGATCGTCTGCAAACACAGAAACAAAGAAAGTGAACTCTAAAGTCGCTGCTTCTACATCCTCCTCTGACACTGTGGACCACAGGGTCCTTCTACCTCAGCTCTACATGAAACTGGATTAGAGGCACAGTTCTGACCTGGTTTGAATCAGACCTGACAAACACAAGTTGTTTTGTACAGGTGGGAGCATCGCTCACTTGTGGAGTACCTCAAGGGTCCATTCTGGGCCCACTCCTCTTTTCATTGTACGTGTTGCCCCTAACTTCTATCTTTAGAAAAGATCGGCTTTCTTTGCCGTGACATCCAGGTGTTTATGCCCATTCAGCTGAACTTGTCTTAGTGACTTTAAGTCCTGGATGAGGATAAACTTCCTACATTTTAATGAAAGAAGGACCGATTTCATACGCTTTGGTAAATATGACTCTTGTGAGTCTTTTGGCTCGTTCCAGTCATGTTGCTGTAAAAAATCTGGGCGTGACTTTTAACAGGTTTCTTAAAATGGACCAACAAATAACAGTCATCACGACAGTTTGTTTTTATCAACTCAGAGTCACTGAAGAAGTAAAGCTTCACCTCTTACAGAAGGAACTGAAAATAAAGTTCTTCATGCTTCTAGCACTTGCTGCCTGGGCTACTTTAACTTTGGTGTTGAACAGTTATCTTTATCTTTAGTCCAGAATGTGGCAGCTCGCCTCTTAACAGGCGTTAGAAAGCATGCACACATCACCGCGGTCTGAGGTCATCTAACCAGATGCTCTTAAGTAATCCTGAAACCAGATTAAAACAGAGGTGATCGAGCTCCTGCATCTACAGCACCAGAGCTACAGAATCAATACCACGCCACAGCTGCACAGCTGCACAGCTCAGACACTGCACACATGTAAATCTTTATTAAAACATTTATCCTCTCGCTGTGACATCATCATAGACGGTTGCATTTTGTCCAAATTAAATTTTTAAATTGTTTTTTTCTACTTTTTTATGCTAATGTTAATTGTGTTACATTTTTCTGATTTTTTTGTGCAGACTTTTTAGATCTACATCATTTCAGTGTACAGCAACTTTGTTGTTTTAAATGTGCTACATATATAAATTTGACCTCGAGTACATCAAAACCACCTTTTTGCTGTCAGGCGTCATCGAATGGTTTCAAGCGTCAGACCTGCAAGACTCAAGGATGC